GGGACTCGGACCCAAACGGGAGAAGCGGGAGTGTCTGGCATCAGTTGGAAGGCAGCTTTCCCTCCGAGGTTTGCAGCGGTTCCGGGGGTTCTGAGAAGCAGAGCCTCTGGGAACAGGACTGAGGGCACCATAACGGCTCCCTCCGCCCGCCCTGTTGAGCCCGCCCCGCCCAAGCCCTGCGCAGAGCCATTTGCCAGATCGCCGCAGGCAAAGGCTAGATTAGCACCTCCCCAGAGGACAGAAGTTTTCCGCGGCAGACACAGCTGATTCACACAGCCAGTCGGCCTGGTGGTCAAATCCCTCTAGTATTAACTACAACAATCAAGGCTCAACTAGAACAAGACTGCGCACAAAGACCACTAGGGGGTGCACCAAGAAAGCATAAAAAATGCGGAGACAAAAAAACATGACAGAAATGGAGGATATAGAGCTAAAAATCGCAATTTTGAGGGCTTGCAAAAATGTGCTAGAAGCTGTCAATAAACTTGAGGAGAGAGTCACGAAAACTAATGAGACCCTCGATGCTATGATAAAGAACCAACTAGAAATTAAGCATACACGGACTGAAATAAAGAATATTATACAGACACCCAATAGCAGACCAGAGGAGCGCAAGAATCAAGCCAAAGATTTGAAATGCGAAGAAGCAAAAAACACCCAACCGGAAAAGCAAAATGAAAAAAGAATCCGAAAATACGAAGATAGTGTAAGGAGCCTCTGGGACAGCTTCAAGCGTACAAACATCAGAATAATTGGGGTGCCAGAAGATGAGAGACAGCAAGATATTGAAAACCTATTTGAAGAAATAATGGCAGAAAACTTCCCCCACCTGGTGAAAGAAATGGACTTACAGGTCCAAGAAGCGCAGAGAACCCCAAACAAAAGGAATCCAAAGAGGACCACACCAAGACACATCATAATTAAAATGCCAAGAGCAAAAGACAAAGAGAGAATCTTAAAAGCAGCAAGAGAAAGAGACTCAATTACCTACAAGGGAATACCCATACGACTGTCAGCTGATTTCTCAACAGAAACTTGGCAGGCCAGAAGGGAATGGCAAGAAATATTCAAAGTGATGAATACCAAGAACCTACAACCAAGATTACTTTATCCAGCAAAGCTATCATTCAGAATTGAAGGTCAGATAAAGAGCTTCACAGATAAGGAAAAGCTAAAGGAGTTCATCACCACTAAACCAGTATTATACGAAATGCTGAAAGGTATCCTTTAAGAAGAGGAAGAAGAAAAAGGTAAAGATACAAATTGTGAACAACAAACATGCATCTATCAACAAGTGAATCTAAGAATCAAGTGAATAAATAATCTGATGTACAGAATGAACTGGTGATTATAATGAATCAGGGACATAGAAAGGGAATGGACTGACTATTCTTGGGGGGGAAAGGGGAATGGGAGATGCGGGAAGAAACTGGACAAAAATCGTGCACCTATGGATGAGGACAGTGGGTGGGGAGTGAGGGCGGAGGGTGGGGCGGGAACTGGGAGGAGGGGAGTGCATTTATCATTCTTCTAAATTTAACTTTGCACAAGTAACCCATGTAAAAAATCTATATTTTTCAAAACTTGTAAATAAAAATAACCTTAACTAAATAAATAAATAAATAAATAAAGTGTACAGTTCTATGTTGCTTAGAGGTCACAGGGTTAACTATGCTACCACAATCTATCCCACTATTATCAGAGCTAAGTTTGATCACCTGGTTACAGTGATGACCACAAGAGAAGACAGACATTTTAATTTCACAAAGATTTATTGAGCTCAATGAGCCTAACCCTGCATGGGGCACTAGACTCAGAAAGATAGTAGGACTGAGCATTTAAGTGCAGCCCCAGTGGAGTGCTGTGGATCAAAGTTAAATCCCTTGGAGAAAGTGGGTGCTGGGGAAGTGGAGCTCCCACAAGACAGACTTAATTTGTGAGGTCTTAAAAATCATGGGAAAGCAAGTGGGCATCCAGCACGCCTTTCCTCTCCCTTCCATATACCTGTGTCTTGTTCTCTGCCCCACTGCTCATCTCTTCTAGCCTCTAACACTGTGGTTCTTTGTTTGTTCAGAACAATTTTGCAGACAATCTCAGGAAATCTGAAGACCTGATGAGGGAATAAGAGGAAACCAGTGTTTGCTGAGCATCAACCCCATGCCAGGCCCCAGCATGGGCTTTGCTCAGGTTACCTTGTTTAATCCTCACAATCACCCTGTGAGTTGGGTATTTTATAGAAGAGCAAACAAGTCTGCAGAGATTAAGTAATGTACCCAACGTTACACAGCAGGGGTTTTTTGTACATGAGACTTAAGTCTAAATATCAGTTTTGAGGAAGATGGCAAGGTTTTTCCTGTTCCCCCACACCCTCAGTCCCTATTCTTGGTCCTCCTAGGGGTCTTCAGTCCCTGGAACCCTTCTTTATTTCTCCTAGTCTCACAGCCCACAGTGGCCTCTCTTCCTTCTCTACACAGCCTGAATTCAAGGTTGGTCACGTGGACCCTCATCAACATTGAGCCAGGCAGGCCATCTCTACTGATAGGGTTCTGGACTCTGGTCCTGATTACTTGGATTCACCTGAGGTCAGTACATAAACAATGCACAGTTCCAGGAAATGCCATCAGTACTGGAATCTATGTGAACGGTGCTTCCTGACATTGTGCAGCACATAGCATAACACCTGAATGCCAGGTCCCAGCTGCATGGATGGAACTGGAGAGCATTATGTTAAGCGAAATAAGCCAGCCAGAGAAAGATAAATATCACATGATCTCACTCATTTGTGTGATATAATGATCAATATAAACTGATGAACAAAAAGAGACAAGGTAGCACTGAACAGACAGTCTACCCTCAGAAAGAAGGCAGGGGAGGAGGGGTGGTTAGAAATCAACCGAAGGACTTGTATGCATGCATATTAGCATAACCAATGGACACAGACACTGGGGAGGTGGGGGCTTACCTTGGGGGATGGGAGTAGCAGGGGGGGGTCAATTGGGGGAAAGGGAGACGTATGTAATACTTTAAACAATAGAAAAAAAGAGTAAAGTACTACAAAGTACCCATTGTTATTATGGAGAGGGTTTCTCTGCCTTCATGCCATTTTTTGCCTTCTGCCATAGTGAACTAATTTTAATTCCCCCAAACTCAGGCCCTTGCATTGCTTCTGGATCTTAGATCATACAGCTCCCTTAAAATGTGTTTTCCCTTTAATGCCTGGAGAGCAAACATTCACTTTTTTAAAAGGTTACCTCCTACAAGAAACCTGCCAGGATCACCTTAGGTAAAACTGATCACTCAGTCTCTCCTTTTGCCAGCCTATATGTCTTGTATATGCTCCTAATATCACACAATGCTTCCTATTTCATCAATTCTAGGATGTACATTTTTTCCATTTCAAAAAAATCTCTGAAATGAGACTATCTTACAATCAAAGGTCTGTCATAATATAATTGGCAGGATTTTTTTTATTTCTTGGAAGTACATAAAAAGGTGCATCTTAACTCAAGAGCATTGGTGAAATTCAGCTTCATTTTTTAATTTTCTAAGGTGAATGGAGCAGTGCTTTGCATCTGGAGGCATTCCAGCTTTCCCTCTCATGCACGCACATTTGGCAATATTTGGTTTTATCAACTCAAGGTGCGGGGGTAGGGCGCCAGGGAGGTATGCTGCTGGCATCTACTGGATAGAGACACAGGACAAACCCCCATAACAATTGTCCAGCACAAAATGTCAATAAAGCAGAGGCTGAGAAACCCTAAGGTAGAGTAATAATGCTTATTTGGATGTATGATATGCTTTATTATGTTTGGTTTTTAAATCAGTCTTTTATAGTGAGTATGCAATCTAATATGTAGCAATTTTTTTCCAAACCTTGGCTTGTAAAGCATGAATAGCAATTCTTGAGAAGTGCTCTAAGCTTTCTTCATCACCCCTTCCCAGTTCCTTCTGCTAGACTCCCAAGGGAAATGAATGATGCAATACTCCAAGTCAAAACTGGAAAGCCACAAGGCCTCCAAGAGATTGTGACCTTAAACCACCAGTTAGGTTAATTAATGTCAAGACCAACACTGTAACCCAGACCCCCAGATTTCCAGGATCCTTCTCAGCCTGGGAGGCAGCTGCTCTGTTTCCTGACAGTTGGGTATCTTAAGAAGAAAATGCACTCTACAAACATGAGATGCGTGACTTAGTAGGAGGTTAGCATTAGAATTCGTGCTTTGCCCCTGGCCAGTTTGGCTCAGTGGATAGAGTGTTGGCCTGCGGATGGAAGGGTCCCAGGTTTGATTCTGGTCAAGGGCACATGTCTGGGTTGCAGGCTTGGTCCAACGTGCAGGAGGCAGCCAATCAACGATTCCCTCTCATCATTGATGTTTCTATCTCTCTCTTCCTCTCCATTCCTCTGAAATCAATAAAAATAAACTTTAAAAAAAATAAAGTATATGATTAAAAAAAATATAGAATTCACGCTTCAACACTGGGGATCCACCCCACTCTTATCTGTGATTCATAAGTTTCAAAGGACTTTAAATTAATGTAGGTGATTTTGTCATACAGAAGGCAGTGGGGACTTAATATGTGTATTTACAGCCCTGGAAGAAGGGTTATTAAGTTGGAAGGGGGAGTAGGGGAGCTGTCCTCCATGCCTGTGGAAAGGGCCTTCAGCTGGAGCAGGAAGCTGATTTACTACGTAAGAGAGGAAGGAGTTCCAGAGGCCTTTGGCAAGGCCTCTCCCGCTTCTCTGCTCCATACTCAGGCGGCCCCAGGTGGGCACCTCCGCACCCACCCCTCACTCCCCACTCTGAGTTCCCTGCCGTAAGTGCGGAGTCTTCCTCCTATCCCCACCCCCTTCACTCTCCAGGGCGCAGTGTGCAGCTCAGCTTGGGATCCTGTGACCCCACCCAGTCTCCATCTGGGCCCTGCAGCCCAGGCCAGCAGGGGAATCCGGCTCCCAGCAGGGGAATCCGGCTCTCGAGGGGGGTGCTGGAGGCCAGACTCACCTTCAGGTGGATGGGGAAGGATCGCTCCTGCAGCAGGGGACTCAGCAACGTCTGCTCCACACTGACCAGCTCTGAGGTCGAGTCCACCACTCGGGCCAGTGCACTTCGCATTGCCATCCGGGCCAGGGTGCATGGCCCGCGGCCCTGGGGGCAGGGCAGCAGCTCCGCGCCCCCCTCGGTGCCTGGCACTACTTCTACCTCAGGGGAGCTCGCCTGCCCCCGGAGCTCCCCATTCCT